CCGCCCGCGGCGGCCGCTGCCCGGCCCGGCTCGGCCCCGACTTCCTGCCGCGCTGGGGAACCGCGCGCAGACCCGCGTCCCCGACGCCCGGCTGCTGCAGGGGGCGGGAGCAGCGGCGGCCGAGGTCCCTTCCGAAAGCGACTTTCAAACTCGCGCCCGCTTCGCGGCGCCACCTGGGCAGCGCCTCGCGTGTCCGGAGCCGGCGGAGCGGCGACCGCGCGGTGAGTGCCCTCCGCTGTCCCCGCGCCGGCGAAGGGGCAGTGCCCGGAGCACGCCGGGGTCTTGCCCTCCGCAGTTTACTCCCCTGCGGGGTGAGAACATGCGACGACCGAGGTGGCCCAGGGCTTGGCTCCTCCCTGGGCGACCGTCCTGGCAGCGGGCGAGGGCGAGGGCGCGGAGGGCCGTTCCGGTAGGCGTGTTTTGCCCGTTTTACTCCCATCCCAGAAACACAAAGGGGGACCGCTCCGGGGCCCCTGTCAGGGTAGGGGTGAGATCCGGGGAGCCTGCGAGGCTGCGCCCAACCTCTCCCTTGGCGCGCCCGGGAGCGGGTTCTGTCCGGGGGCCGTGAACCCCTTCTGGGGAAGACCGAGCCTCGGGTCCCGGGAGCCCGGAGGTGCCAGCAGTCTGCTCCGGCCTGGTGCCACATGGTGCTCGCCCTTGGGGATCTCGGTTCCCCGTGCAGGGATTAGAGTAGGGGCCAGAAACGCGGAGAGCGTTGGCAACATAGAGCCCCTGGCTGCGCGGAGCCCCTGCCCTCGTCCATTCCCGAAATCGGTTTATTTGCTGCCCAATCTCAGCCCTTCGAGTTGGGAATCCAGGATACGGCATCCAAGCTTGAAAATTTCTAGACGTTGTTTAGGTAGCTACTTTTATTTTTTGGAGCTGTTTTCGAAAACGAAAGGGAAAAGGGAGCGAGAAATGTAATGGTTGGAGGCTGGAGAGGTGTGGCCTGGGGGGGGGGGTGTTAGAGACCGGGTGTGGGCTTCATTCTCTGGCTCACTCGCTAAGCTGCCGGCAGATGTAGGGGTTCTCGGCTGCCCTGAGCCAGAGCGGGAGACCTGGACGGCAGCGCCTTACAGGGCACCCTGGCAGGGGGTCCGCAGAGTCTCCCTAGCCGGGCCTCTGCGTGCAGCCCCGTCACATGGTCCTTGCTCAAGACATAATAAGCGGGGAGTAGTGACAGTCGGGGGGAGGGCGGGGAGCTCCACGCTGAGCACCATCAGCTGCCCGCCTCCTGGAAAGTGCCCTTACAGCCCCTCCTCTGCTGGGCTGGGCGTGCAGTTCTGCGCCCCTAAACCCCAACTATCCGGCAGAAAGGCTTGGGAGTAAGAGTCCAGAGAAGGCGAACCGTTCTCTGTGACCGCCCTTCCCGTGGGTCTGGGTTCACACCTGCCTGGCCGGCCTCATCTCCCTTCTGTACTCCTGCTGTTGACGCTCCTGCCTCTGCTGCCCCCTCCTTTCCTGGAAGGTTGGACCACCCTTTGGGTCCCTGGGGATGGGACTGGGAGCCGGGGATTAAGGAAACCCCCAAGCCAGTGCTTTAAGAGCTGCTTTGGAGCTTTTGTGTTGCCTTGATTAGAAGTGTCATAGCAGGGACAATGTAAAGAGCACTGGACTAAGAGTCCAGCCTGGGTTTTGGCTTGAGTTTTAGTCCTGGTTCTACTACATAGCAGCAAATATTGATGGAGTTGTTGTGGCTGGAAGGCCCCTCAGATTAGCCCACCCCATTTACAACCAAAGAAACCAAAGCCCTGAAGGGTGAGGCGATTTTAGCCTGGGGCCCTATTGGCCTGACTGGGACCAGAGCTCACATCCCCTCATGGACTAATCTACTTCTCCAACACCACCTGGCCAATTCACATCTTTTCTGACTCAGTTTCTATGTGAAAGAAGTGGGAATACTTGCTTGCTTTTTTTTTTTTTAAAAAATAAAGGCTATAGTAAGGGTCAGATGCACCCTCACATGTGGTAAGTGTTCCATAAACTGCTACATAAAAAGAAAAAAAAGGCTGCACAGTGATGGGAGGGTCCCTTTGAGCTTTGCAGTTTCCTGGGTATATCCCGTGTAGATGGTAGGCGTGGGAGCTAATGGTGGAAGTTTACTCCTTGGCCTGTAGTATCTCCACTCCAGAGTAAACACTGGCCTTACCAAATCCACTGCTCTCCCAGGGTCACGGTGTTTACAGCAGAGCAGGCCAAAGGGCAAGGCTGGGATGACCAGCACTGGAGGGTTGAGGGTCTGTGCTCCCTAGGAGCGCTGCCCTGCTGCCTCCATCAGGCTCTCAACCTTGTGAAGGCATCGGCCCTGCCCGGGGTGCCACAGCCCCGTAGGCTCCTCTGAAGCTCTTCTCTGTGGTGTTGGGGCGGGGAGGGCTCTGGGTGACAGGGCTCTCTGGAGTTTGCAGCTGCACTGGAGGCTGTCTTCAGTGTCAGGGCGCCCTCCCCCCTCCAGGTGGCCCTTCTGGCTCAGGCTGCTGCTCTGGGCCCCCTCTGGCCAGCTGCCTGTCCTCAGGCCTTTGTTCTGGGGCTTCCCTGCCCATTTCCCTCCTTCCCCAGCAGAAGCCTTCAGGCTGGGGCCCTGGCAGCTGGAAGTCACCACTGCCACCAGGAAGCTCTCTGGGAGACCCCAGGGGACCTATGGATGTTCATTTCCTCTCCTCAGGCTCATCTGGGGCCCTCAACTGGCCCCTGGCTAGATTCTCTGTCTTTTCTCAGCTTTCCGTTCTTGCCCTGAATAAATGGATCATCCACTTTTTCTCCCTACACTCCTGCCTCTCAGTTCTATTTTATGCCCTTGCATTCATTCATTCAACCGTTCCTTATTTAGCACTAACTGTCTATGAATGCTAGGTGCTGGGAACACAGCAGGGAACAGAATACAGTACGCAACAATTATTGACCATGTGGAGCTGGTAATAAACAAGACAGATGACACAAATAAAGAGCTTGTTAGTGATAACCCGAAAAAATATGATAGGGAAGACAGGTGTGAATTGTCAGGGGAGGAATTCGCTGACAGTCCTAGAGTGGCCGGGAAAGTTTCCCTAAAGAAAAGACTTTTGAACAGGGAGCTATTTCTTAAGCCCTGATTTCCCTTCCTTGAAACCCAGTTCAGCATCCCACTGAGGCCTAGAAGCAGAGACACCTGAGTTCAAACCCTGGCCCACAGCCCACTGAGGTGGAGCTAAATTCCTTTGAACCTGCGTTTCTCAACTATAAAGTGGAGTCATCTTGCCTGCCATGTGTGGCATTGTGAGAATGAACAATGAAATAATGTGTGTTTACTGTTCAGCAAAGCCTGAAGAGGGGTATGACAAATGCTTTTTCCAATCAAATACTGAAGGAGGAACTTGAGATACAATAAGTACTCAAAATATAGTTAATATTTAAATTTAAAAATGTATTACAGTAAAAGATACATGGCTATTAATCCCCTTCAAAATACGGCCCTCACTTTGAGCACACTGATCCCATTGTTCTTGCACTTTCTGAAGCAGTTCTGGAAGTCCTCTTTCCTAAGTGTCTTTACAAGGTGTGTTTGAAACTGGTGAATGCTGTTGCTGAGTTCCATCCAGTGGAAAGACAGGCCTATGAAAACATGACGGAGTGTTCTCATCTACCTTACTGAATTTGGCACCATGCAATTTGTCTCTTGCTCAGTCAAAATGACCATGAAAGGTAAATGTTTTGAATTTATTCAGGGCATTGAGGCAGCCATAACACTGCAAGTATAAACACTTGCAAAAAAGGACTCAGAACTACTTCAGAAAGTAGCAAGAATGGTGGGTAAGTATGTTCGAGGTGAGGGAGAGTATTTTAAGGGTGATTCATGGCAGTGTGTTTTTTACTGTAATATATTTAAAAATGTTTAAACATTCACCTTAGTTTTCAATCTTACCTGTTTCATGCCAGGGCTAAGGGCTCTAGATGGAAATTTTTGCATTTTAAGTATGAGGCAAGAGGAGGAACTTAAAGGGAATGAACAGAAAACCAAAGTGAATCCTCTCCTAGCAGTGAGCTTTCTACCTTAGACCTCAGATGGAGGAAACAGGACTCCCAGATGTGTGCTGGCCCTTACCCCCTGTGATAGATCGTGTGACCGGGGCAGCCCTGACCTGTGCTTTATCTGGAATTCCCCCTGCCTCCAACCAGAGGCTGAATCACACCTTTGTCCCTGGCCTCTCCCCTTGGTCCCACAGCTTCGAAGCTGTCCACCCTCCTTCAGCCTCGTGTAGAGAAGTTATGCTGGGCGCGGTGGTGGAGAAGGAGAGAAGGAGAGGTCACACAGTGGTACAGCTCTTCCTGGAGAGCCCACGGAGGTGGCAAAAAGATTCTGAGGGAGGCTGGGAAGCAGCCCCCCACAGGCCTTCCATAAGGCAGGAACCAGGATTCATTAATTTTTGTGACTGGCTCTTGCTGTGTTAAATAGGCCGGCCTCAAAGCGATCTTTCTGCTTCAGCCTTCTACATAGGTGAGACCACAGGTGCCTGCTACTGTACCTGGCTCAGAATGTTTTTGAGTTTTGAGTTTTTGTTTTTAGACAGTGTCTTGCTATGTAGTCCAGGCTGGCCTCAAACTCCTGACCATCCTCCTGCCCTAGCCTCGTGAGTGCTGAGATTATAGGGCTATGCACCAGAATGACTGATACAGTGAGAGCTCAGGATCAGGCCTGCCTAGGTCTGAATTGCTTCTAATCTGCTCATCCGATGGATGGGTGTTTTCCTCTTAGCTGGAAACACGGGCGTCAAAGGGGTGTAATCAAAACTTCTGTTGTCAGAATTTGTGGTGAGCGGTTTCCTGGGGACCCTGCCCTGGCTCAGGAAGTGAGGGATGGGCCATGAGGGCCAGGCTTAAGGAAGTGGTCATCAGTCACACCACTCCCTGGAGGGCCCACAGCACACGAAGGCGGCCACACGGCTCTTTGCTGAAGCAACTTCTGAGCCTGCCAGTTGGGGTGAAGCCCAGTGGAGTCAGAACTCAGAGGAAGTTGGAAAGAGGCCTGAACAGCTTGGAGCATGCTTATGACATTGGGTGACCCAAGGTCAGGGCAGGGTCTAACCTGTGGTCAGCTAGAGACCTGTCTGGAGGTGCTGGCGGACCCCCGTGGCAGCTGGCTGGGACTAACAGCTGGCCCTAGTGACAATAGGGGCTCTATTTCCGTTAGAAGCTGCAGGGAACAGGAGCTGTGCTTGACTCATCTGTGTTCCCAAAGAGCACTGAG